GATATGTGTCAATGACCCAATGTAGAAACTGGAAGCTGACCCTCTATTTATTTAGTCCACTTGTCAATTGTGAAGTGGACTCGTAGGAATTATGTACTCAAGGTTTCCTGGTATAAGACATAACAACTGATGCCCTGACTTGCTTTCTATTGAAGTGAACTGAACATTAGGATAAGCATTATACAAATGCTTCATTCTGGACCAGGCCATGACCAATATTTTTCATTTCAGTAGCAAATTATGCTTTCAAAATTGGCACCAACAAAATTATGGTTTGATTTGATATGCCCACAACATAATTACAATTCATTTATTTGCAAATCTAGGTGCAATCATTTATTTTTATAACTAGCAACCGTCTATCTGAAATACCACAGTATTATATACTAAAGTTATGAATCATTGATACTACATTGGATCGAAAAAACTATCTTAGCATTATGACAGATAAAGTGGATTATATCATTAACACTAGATTTCTCAGTAACGGCAGATGCCTCTTGATTTGCAACCCTTGCATTGAAATATGCTGGATGCAACAGCATCGGACATGGTTGGTTGATCAACTGCAGTCAGGGGATATTGTTTGTATTAATCGATGTTATATTTGAAGCAGTATATCATAATATTGGGATGGGTACACCAAAGGGGGTGCATTGGCAAGTCGTACTGTTTCTAGAGTACACTCCCAGTTTTCATTGCATTAGATCGCTGTGCAAGACTAACAATATTGTAGTTGCAATGCCGCTTGGTGTGCAACAAATTTTTGGGTCATTTTCAGTTTGGGCATATTTAGTGATTTACTATATACATTATTATGCTTTTTTTTCTGCTGTAAACTTGTGACTTCATTGAGTTTTTTTTCCCCATACGTCACTGTTGAAAACTTGGCAGCACAACTTCAACCAGAATTGGCGTGAACAAGGGATAGATTTGCTGGATGCATGCCAGTTATCAGTCATAGCACTAATTAGGCTGATGTGCGCAGCTGAACACATGTTTCTTATGGGTTTTAAACCCAGAACAGACATGCAGTTATTTGTTTCGTTGAAGTCGTCATTATCATCACAGCTTGATCCAGGCTTTGAACTCTGATGTTTGTGAAATTTGTTAAATTGTGTGACTGATAGTGACAAATGAATTTGCTGGCTTGCCACTTCATTTCCAGATTTCAGTTGTATTTATGGGCATATGGGAAGGTTTGGTTACTTGCCGTATATATGGGCAAACCGCTGATGGCCATGAGTTGACGATTTATGCTTTTGTAAGTTGTATGTATAGCTAGTAATTGCCTCATGAACTGAACTGAATCCTTTTGAATTTTGACACATGCTTGCCCATGAATATTAATCTATGATGGAGCTGGTGATGTATCTTTTGCACATTTCCTCGTGTTTGAGGAACTTCATGCTTTGTTGTTGGTAAATGATACTATATATCAATGGTGTTTCTACTTTACTAGTACTGCGTGTAATTTTGCCCATTGTTTTATAACATGATGGAGATTGTGTTGTTGCTAGTTCCACCTTTTTTTAGTATGATTTATTTACATTTTGGCATTGCACTTCAGATGATAGGCTGTGTGCATCCTAGCTATGCAGAGGGCGAGGGTGGTCTTAGAATAATTGTATCCTCTTGATGTAATTGTCTAAGATTAATAAAACTCTCTTTGTCGAAAAATTGCACTTCAGATGGTTTTAAGAACTGGTTGGTTGGGTGGTGGAATTTGGAGCATGCACATGTCCTCTTTTAGCTTGCTTTGGCTTACTAGAATTTCGATGATCTATGTTCTATAAATGTTGTCGATTTGCATGAAAGCATATCAAATTATGATGTATCTTTGACAAACTCAATTACAAAAAAAAAAATCCATCATATCTCAGGATAGCATAAACTTAGAATGCCTTAATTAAGAGATTACTCTACAAAATTGGTTTACTCCATCCTATTTATATGACTATGAGCAATTCGAGCTTATTACATCTCCATAATCTCAGTTCTCATACCCCCTCCGTCCCTAAATATAAGGGATTTTAGTGAGATTTGATACATTTTAATGCAATGAATTTGGATGTACTTTTATCTAGATTCGTTGTGTTAGGATGTGCCATGTCCCACCAAAATTCTTTATATTTAGGGATTGAATTTTATATTTAGGGATGAAGGTACTACATCTTTGCATAGCTAGTCATCCAAAAAGTCCAAATAGACATCGACCGATGATTGCTTCTAATTGTTGTGTTGGGCGAACCAACAAATATGCTACCTCTAGTACAAAAGCCTAACAGCACATAAAAGAACGTGACGCTCTCTTTTTCCTATAGCAAAAGCGCTGCCTTGCATTAAAGACAGACTAAGAGAAAATTGTTCCTTATAATTTATGACAGAATTGAAATGTTAGAAAAAAATTTAGGACTGAAGTATTAATAAGTAAGGCTGTGTTCGGCACACCCTTTTCCCAATGCCTCTCCCTCGTTTTCTGCGCGCATGCTTTTTAAACCAATAAACGGTGAGATTTTTTGCAAAAAGTTTTTATATGAAAGTTGCTTAAAAAATAAATTAATCCATTTTTAAAAAATAGCTATTACTTAATTAATCATGGGCTAATAGACCGCTCTGTTTTCCACGCGTACTATTCCGATTGGGAACATGGACTGGCGAACACAGCCTAAACAATCATTCTCAATACTTTAGGACACTTGAGGGGTTTAGTTCTATAGAAAATTGTTTTAGGAGAGAAATAGGTTTTTTTTAGGAAAGTTACTTACATTGAATTAAATTGCTCTGTTGTTTCAAGGGAGAATGAAAACAAATTTACTCCAACTCATGGTATTAAGTAACCAGATGCGGAATTATCAGGTGCGACTATTTTTAAGAAAGAGTTAGCACCAAGATGTAAGTTTATAGGATCCATATTAATAATAAGAAAGGGATTATCTATAGTTCCGAGGTCTGAAAATAGAAAAAAATATCAGTCAATTTTTGAATGAACAGGCTGTCTCCAAACCACTCCCCCTCCCCCAACCCTACCTCCCTCTTCTTCCTCACCCCAATTCCACTACCGATGCAATCCCTTTTCCCTACTTAGCATCCCGCCACCACTAGTGATGTGCTTCATGGTGCCTCTATAATGTTAGAAAGGCCTGTCGGCTTTCGTGCGCTATGCCCATCTCCTAGCCAACTACTCTCGCCCTTCTTCCTCATTGATGAAATCCCCCCACCTTCCTCATCTTTGACGGCTTACACCTCCTTACAAATTGATTTCCCTTGCCCCCACCATCAACTTCACCTACTATACTGCTCTAACCCTATCGCTGACTCCTAGGCCATTACTCTAAGCCCGCAAAGACCCCGCCTTCGACTATCCCAACCCCCTATCCCACCCCAACCTCAACCCTCACACCTAATCGGTCCTTTTCATCACCGTTGTCTTTGGGTCATCACTGGAGAAAAATAATTTGACTTAAAAATGCAAAAAAGTTAGGCATATAAACAATCCCTAATAAAACATAAGCTCTCCCTGGACAAATAGCGAGTACAGTTTCTTAAAGCCCATGAAAAATGTGTTCTCGACAATGTCTGAATGGCAACTTGTTGCTTGAGAATAACTTGAGCTTTCCTAGGAAGTCTTTTTAATCCATCGGAAAGAGGAGACAGGGGGAGTCTTGATTCATCCTCATATACAAAGTGAGCAGTTTGCATCAACAAGACTACTTGACCCATCTTATTAATCTTGCAACATTTGTGTATTTAATGTGTTAGTGTTAATATTATTGAATTTATTCCGAAACTATCCCACATTTAAACAAAATAATAAAAATAACCTGATTTTTTTAAATTAATGTGCAACTAAACAAGCTATCGTTTGAAAATTATGCAAAAGCACGTAAGCTAACGATCTTTGTCTGGCACAAGAAAAACCTCAAATATGCTTCTCTGGACGAGAAAACCCCCCAAACGAGTGAGTCGGAGATGATCCATCGCCGCCGTACCTCGCTGGAGCAGCTGCCGGACGACGATCTCCTCTCCGAGATCCTCCTCCGCCTCCCCCCCAGCCATCCTACCTCCCTATCATAATTTAAGAAAAATATTTAAGAAAAATCCGTTGAGTAGAAGGTTTTATTTAAAGAAAATTTATTTTTGCACAACAAGATTATTTTTAAAAAACAATTTTTTGGTGTAAGTGCTCATCTAACTATAATAGCAATTGTACACACTAATCTACTTGAATGCCATAAGCACGCAAATAGATCTCGTAGGGATGTGTTTCCACGGTCCACGCCTTCGCAATAGACATTCACACAATAGCAAGGTCGTGATTCAAGTGTCCAACGGCCAACACGTATGGGCATGGTTTCCATTTTGTGACCGGGGAGGATATATTGTTGCATGTTTTTAACTGCAAAATAATATATTTTTTCTATTGAAAAGTTGCTTTAAAAAATATTATTCATTAAAAGTTTTACTTGTTACTAATACATAACTAATAATCATCATGTACTAATCGGTTACTAACACATAAATAATATTTGTTGGAACCAAACCTACGAGACAACATAGGCAAGCTTTTAAGGCTTCAAGCTAAAGGTGACAAAGAGAAGGTGAAGACAGAAAAAAAATCAATCAATTATTTCCAATATCTTTCAAATCTGGTTCTAAATAGACTAATAAAAATTCCCAAATCTACCTCTTTGAGATAACGAGGCCTTTTTCCTTTCCCGTTAATATCCATCTTCACAAATTATCAAATCCAAAAAGTTAGACGATTCAGAAATCATAAATTAAAGGACAAGATCGAGCTAAGAAGACCAGAAACCAGGAGAAACAGAAGGTCCTACATGTGCTACCTCTGCATGCTGGGTGCTGGTCTAGTAATCACGTGTTAGTTTACCTGTAGCTAACCATCATGGTCATGGCTACGATTTTGTAATTAGGATTTGAAACTTTTTGGGATCGAGGGAGTATGGTTTTCAAAATAATCGGTTTAACAGTTTTAACAAAATAATTTCGGTTTTGCAAAATTTTCATGGTTTTCTTCTCCACCTATCCACTGTCCACACTCTACAGTAGTACTACTCTCCAATCTCAATGCACGCGGCCTCAGCGGCGAGATAAGCCACCGCCGCGGCCGCGCCACCTCACCGGCGGCGCCGGTGACCCTGCCGGACGACGACGACCTCCTCGCCGAGATCCTCCTCCGCCTCCCGCCGCTGCCCTCCTCGCTCCCCCGCGCCTCCCTCGTCTGCAACCGCTGGCGCCGCCTCGTCACCGACCCCGCCTTCCACCGCCGCTTCCGCCCCCGCCACCACCGGAATCCCCCCATCATCGGCGTCTTTGCCGACGACTTCGGCTTCCCCTTCTTCCGGTCCGTGATGGATCCGCGGGATCTCATCCCAAGGGAGCGCTTCTCGATGCGGCTCGGCGAGGACGAGGTCCGCAAAGAGCGGATGTTCTGCGGATGCCGCCATGGCCGCGTCCTCCTCCTGGACCGGAAGCAGAACGAGATCGTCCTCTGGGACCCCGACACCGGCGACCACCGCCGGGTGGGCATTCCGCCGGAGATAGACGGCAAGGAGAAGATCGTCTGGAACGAGGCGGCGCTCTGTGCCGCCGCCGACGACGACGGCCACGTTCACGGCGGATTCAGCTGTTGCCCCTTCAATGTTGCCTTGGTGGGCGTGGCCAGCAACAACACACAAATGTTCGCTTGCTTCTACACATCGGAGACCGGCAGATGGAGCAATCTCATCTTCACTCCTGCTCCATTCTTGGTCTTTGCTTTTGTTGATCCTGGCATACTCGTTGGCCATTCCCTGTATTGGTTCCCCACTGGTCTTGGCAGTGCCATTCTTCAGTTTGATTTGGATAGGCAAACCCTTGCTGTGATTGAGTGGCCTTCCAATCCAAATTGTTATAGCCACTACATGTCTCAGATCTTTCTGGCAGAAGGTGGTTATCTTGGCCTTGTCACTCTGTCGTACGACAGCCTTCAAATATGGGAGAGGAAGGTCTGTTCTGAAGGTGTTACCAGATGGGTGCTGCAGAGGACAGCTGAGCTAAACAAGGTTCTTGAACTGGGCTCTGGGGTCAAGACAAGTCATTTAGTGAGATTGGGTTATGCTGAGGATGTTAAGGTGATGCTTCTATGTGCTGATTCCAGTGTCTTCATGCTACAAATTGATTCACTGCAGTCCAGGAAGCTTTGGGAAACCAATATTATGTCCTCGCTTCATCCCTACGCAAGTACTTATGTTGCAGGTACTTATGTTTTTACAATGCAGTAAAATTAGGTGTGTTTTCAGCATTTGACTGCAGAACAGATTAATTCATCCGACATATCAAATAAGTAATTTACTGGCTCGTTTCAGAGAGTGACACTATTTTTTTTCATTCAATACCTGTTTCTGCGAGATGACCTTTTAGAAGCCTTGTGTTGTGGTCCATTCTTTTTTTCTTAATTTTGAACATTGAAAGATGTAGAAGTATTTACTATTTAGATTGGCCACTGAGAAGAGAACCACAGTTAGATTTGTCTTGGAAAATACTAATATAGTATTTAGTTGTCGACTCTAATATAAGGAAACTAATGTTCTATCTTGTCTAGAGACTGTAGAATGTCTGGAGTATCACTACAAAAGAACAAAGGGAATACTTTTTTTTCTTCTTAGTCCTGCTGCAAGCAATGTATTAATTTGCACAAGAAGAAATCACTATTTATATATTTTGTATTGGTCAATGAAGTTCTATTTTTTACTAGATTATGTTAGCTTCAGGATGTATTACTCTAGTCCATTTACATACTAGTGATTACTTGCACAGAATAATTTTAGATAACTTATGCACCCCCTAGTTACAAGGTTTATGAATATACTGTTTGGAGGAATATTGCTTCCTTTTAGAATTTTATTCAGTTTACATATATTTATCTTGTATGTGTGTTTTTTGGATATCTGGAGCCTTTATTATTTTAGGTGCTAGTGTGTTACACAGGTTTTGGATGGCGATTTGTGATTACAGAAGTATTTGTCTGATTATGATTTGTCAGATGTCCACTAAATTTCCAAAATAAGTGAATTTCACTTTAGACACATTTTTATTACCCTAGCTGCAGTATTACTAACTCACAAAAGTTCCCGGATCGATGGATCGAGGAACGTGGGACGTCATTTTCTAAAAGCATGGAACGTTAGTTGGAACGTGTTCCTACGTTGTTTGGAACGTCCCTCTATCTCTCCATGGTCGTACCACAGCGTGATGAGGGCAATGCTTGTCCATTCTCCACTGCATGATGGTGCTGACGCTCGTACATGCACAGCAGAACGTTGGCGAGCAGCGAGTGAGCAACAACAGCGTTCGTCCCATCCAGATGAGTTCAAATTTAGTGAAAGTTAATCAAATTATAGATTTTGCTTGAAAATTTTGGATTGCCTTTCCATCATTTTCCATCGTGCCACATTAATTTCTCTATCAGACCACTCTACTTGTTACTCCATACCTTGTACTAGGACGACTCTCAAGACGAAGTTCCATCCATTTTCGGGACGAAGGTCCACATAGTTCCCGTTTCTCGATCTAGAACAAAGTTCCCGGAACAAGGAACACACCCAAGTTCCACGTTCCATGGGACATAAAGCTGCACAATGGACCAGGGTATATCCAAGTTTTAACATACTTGACAAAACATAGCAGTCTTGAACCAGGGGTATTGCTTGAGATTCTACGATGGCTATTTGGCCCATGACCCATCCATGGAAGGAGTAAGAGATGGTAGATGGCACTAGCTTGTGAGCACAAGGGGATAATGAGTGTGCTTTGTCAGAGCAGTAGTGGCTTCTGTGAGCGGAGAGGTCAGCAGCAAACTGCACCTCTGATTTGCATGCCCAGGCAACTCGATCCTCCGCTGATCCGACGAGGAGCGAAGTAGATTCCAGGCTCCACAAATAGGCTAGGGAATCGAATCAAATTGCTGTATTTTGGTATGTTTAGGTGGCATAAAGTGGAAAGGTTGCTAAACATGGTCCACTGTGCAGCTAGGGTAATAAAAAGGGGTCCATAGTGAAATTCACTCTTCTATAAAATAGATAACTAACTACAGTAAAGAACTCATTGGGAGCTCTGGTTCAAGGTGAAATTAACTAGATCCCTCACTTGCATCCTCATTGTGCATACTTTTGTACTTTTTAGTAATAAAATTTTCATTGGCAGCAAATTATGGTTTAAGAAAATTTGGTAAGGTTTGTGTTGGTACCATGCTAAGATAAATGATATTTGTGGACCAAAAGAGGTTCCACTTATGAGATATTGAGGTACACATCAGAAAGAGTTGAGTGTACAATCATAAACGGTAGTAAATCATGAATGGTTGATGTCCCTATGCTTCTCCAATGACTTTTAATTTGAATATAGTAATAATTGGTTTGTCCTAAAATTTCTAAAAGTAGACTGGAGTATGAACTAGAAACAGGTGTTTCTACTTTCTACCTGCCAAGTGTCGTTGTACTTGTACCCCTTTAGTTGCTAGTTAGATGTAGAGAGAAACGCCCACGCGTTTTCCAACTAGCTCCACAAGGTGGTGGGCTAGCAGACCTGGTTCGAAGCCTCACCCCTTCTATTTATTTAATATTAGGTCCTTTCCTAATATGCGTTTTTTTCTAGTTTGATGTAGCCAAAATTCGAGAACAGTTCCAATAATTCAATTGTTCCTCTATATTGTCTGTTCAGTGTTTCTTCTTTTTGTTTTTGCCTAGTAATAATACTGGAATTATTCAACTTTGGAAATTTGATGTATGGTTCACAACGCTGAAAATAATAGTTACATTTTGCATTGCACCAAAAAAAATGCGATATAATTTTGTGACTGTAAATTTATACCAGAATGACTGATGGAATTGTTCTCTTGCAGGTATCTAGACTTTTGACTGTTATTGGTAAGGTGCAGAGATGGATTACTGGTGCATGATCTTCCATTTTGTATGTGGCGGTGGCTGTGTGGCCTATGAAGATATGTGCCAATGACCCAATGTATAAACTGGAAACTGACCCTCTATTTATTTAGTGCACTTTGTCAATTGTGAAGTGGACTCGTAGGAATTATCTACTCGAGATGTCCTGTTATAAGACGTAACAACTGATGCCCTGACTTGCTTTCTATCAAAGTGAAATGAGCATTATGATAAGCATTATAACGAATGTTTTATTCTGGACCTGTCCATGCCCAATATTTTTCATTTCAGTAGCAAATTATGTTTTCAAAATTGGCAGTTTGGTACCAACAAAATTATGGTTTGTTTTGCTATGCGCACAACACAATTACAATTCATTTATCTACAAATCTAGGTGCAACCATTTATTAAATCTAGGTGCAGTCATTTAATTATTTTTATAACTAGCAACCGTCTATCTGAAATACCACAGCATTATATACTAAAATTATGATATCTTCGATATTACATGTGGATCAAAGAAACTATCTATCAGTTACGACAGATACAATCATATCATTAACGCTATATTTCTAAGTAACGGCAGATGCCTCTTGATTTGCAACCTTTACAGTGAAATATGCTGGGTGCTTAGGTTCAGCAAGCACCATCTTTTTATTGCTTTTCATTGCAACAGCATCTGCAATGGTTGGTTGATCAACCGCAGTCAGGGCCTCAGGGGATATTGTTACTAATTCTTTCTATTAATCTATACTTTCTATAAAGTTAAAGCCCACTAAATCTAAATCTCAACTGCAACCATGCCACATCATCACCCACTAGCAATAATTATATATTTAATCTCATGCAAGCATACAACATGATTTACAATTTATTTAGAGTAAATTTTACAAAACTACAGGTATTTTGCATAATTTATCACAAAACTATAGATTTAAGAGCTTGTTTCACAAAACTACAAATTTAGTGTCTTTGTTTATCACAAAACTACAGGTACTTTATACAATCTATCACAAAACTACAGATTTATGAACTTGTTTCATAAAAATAAAGATTTAGTGTATTCGTTTATCACAGTGCTACACATTTAGTGTCTTCATTTATCACAAAACTACATATTTAGTGTCTCCATTCTCACAAAACTACAGGTTTTAGCATTGTTAAAACGTGTAGTTTTGTGAGAATGGAGACACTAAATCTGTAGTTTTGTGATAAATGAAGATATTAAACCTGTAGTTTTGTCAAAAATGAAGATATTAAATCCGTAGTTTTGTGAAACAAGTTCTTAAATATGTAGTTTTAGATAGTGTTCAAAGTATCTGTAGTTTTGTGATAAACGAGAACATTAAATCTGTAGTTTTATGAAACTAGTTCTAAAATCTGTAGTTTAGTTTTATGAAATTTACTCATTTATTTAATTCTACAAATCAAAATGCAAACATATCCAATCATCACCCCCTCATGTCATTTGCACTATATTTTAACAAATCTATTTATCACTTTTACAATATTTAACATATACTTATCAATATGTTTCACACTAAAGCACGGGTATCATTTGACTAATAAACCTTGATGTTTCTTTTTTTTCTTTGTACTCATAGCTTGATCGTCAAATAAAATATTGAGAATTGCTCAGTGTTTCCCGCAGCAAAGTGTGGGGAATCATCTAATTGGTAGTTGGTACTCCCTCCGTTTTAGGTTATAAGATGTTTTGACTTTGGTCAAAGTTAAACTGCTTCAAGTCTGACTAAGTTTATAGATAAATATAGTAATATTTACATTACCAAATTAGTTTTATTAAATTAATAATTAAATATATTTTTATAATAAATTTATTTTGGGTCAAAAATATTACTATTTTTTTCTATAATTTGATCAAACTTAAAGCAGTTTAACTTTAACCAAAATTAAAAATCTTGTAACTAGAAACGAAGGGAGTAATATATTTGCAGCAACATAAGGAGGCTTGGAATGGGATGGGTACATCAATGGGGATGCATAGGCAAGTCGTACTGTTTCTAGAGTACACCTAGTTTTCGTTGCATTAGATGGCTGTGCAAGACTAATGAAACTAGTTCTAAAATCTGTAGTTTTGTAATAGATCATGCAAAGTATCTGTAGTTTTATGAAATTTACTCATTTATTTTACACTACATGTATTTTACATAATTTATCACAAAACTACAGATTTAGTGTCTTTGTTTATCACAAAATTACAGGTACTTTATATATACAATCTATCAAAAAACTACAGATTTATGAACTTGTTTCATAAAAATATAGATTTAGTGTATTCGTTTATCACAGTGCTACACATTTAGTGTCTTCATTTATCACAAAACTATAGATTTAGTGTCTCCATTCTCACAAAACTACAGGTTTTAGCATTGTTAAAACGTGTAGTTTTGTGAGAATGGAGACACTAAATCTGTAGTTTTTGTGATAGATGAAGATATTAAACCTGTAGTTTTGTGAAAAATGAAGATATTAAACCCGTAGTTTTGTGAAACAAGTTCTTAAATCTGTAGTTTTAGATAGTGTTCAAAGTATCTGTAGTTTTGTGATAAATGAGAATATTAAATCTGTAGTTTTGTGAAACTAGTTCTAAAATCTGTAGTTTTGTGATAGATCATGCAAAGTATCTGTAGTTTTATAAAATTTACTCATTTATTTAATTCTACAAATCAAAATGCAAACATATCCAATCATCACCCCCTCATGTCATTTGCACTATATTTTAACAAATCTATTTATCACTTTTACAATATTTAGCATATACTTATCAATATGTTTCACACTAAAGCACGGGTATCATTTGACTAATAAACCTTGATGTTTCTTTTTTTTCTTTTTACTCATAGCTTGATCGTCAAATAAAATATTGAGAATTGCTCAGTGTTTCCCGTAGCAAAGTGTGGGGAGTCATCTAATTGGTAGTTGGTACTCCCTCCGTTCGTTTTAGGTTATAAGATGTTTTGACTTTGGTCAAAGTTAAACTGCTTCAAGTCTGACTAAGTTTATAGATAAATATAGTAATATTTACATTACCAAATTAGTTTTATTAAATTAATAATTAAATATATTTTTATAATAAATTTATTTTGGGTTAAAAATATTACTATTTTTTTCTATAATTTGATCAAACTTAAAGCAGTTTAACTTTGACCAAAATCAAAAATCTTGTAACCAGAAACGAAGGGAGTAATATATTTGCAGCAATATAAGGAAGCTTGGAATGGGATGGGTACATCAATGGGGATGCATAGGCAAGTCGTACTGTTTCTAGAGTACACCTAGTTTTCGTTGCATTAGATGGCTGTGCAAGACTAATGAAACTAGTTCTAAAATCTGTAGTTTTGTGATAGATCATGCAAAGTATCTGTAGTTTTATGAAATTTACTCATTTAGAGTAAATTTCACAAAACTACATGTATTTTACATAATTTATCACAAAACTACAGATTTAAGAGTTTGTTTCACAAAACTACAGATTTAGTGTCTTTGTTTATCATAAAATTACAGGTACTTTATATATACAATCTATAAAAAAACTACAGATTTATGAACTTGTTTCATAAAAATATAGATTTAGTGTATTCGTTTATCACAATGCTACACATTTAGTGTCTTCATTTATCACAAAACTATAGATTTAGTGTCTCTATTCTCACAAAACTACAGGTTTTAGCATTGTTAAAACATGTAGTTTTGTGAGAATGGAGACACTAAATCTGTAGTTTTTGTGATAAATGAAGATATTAAACCTGTAGTTTTGTGAAAAATGAAGATATTAAACCCGTAGTTTTGTGAAACTAAGTTCTTAAATCTATAGTTTTATGATATAGTGTTCAAAGTACCTGTAGTTTTGTGATAAACGAGAACATTAAATCTGTAGTTTTGTGAAACTAGTTCTAAAATCTGTAGTTTTATGATAGATCATGCAAAGTATATGTAGTTTTATGAAATTTACTCATATTGTAATTGCAAATGGGAAAGCACTACAGGTGTGATGAAGTCGTGGGTGAATGATTTCACCAATTAGATTTCAAATAATCCCAGTGTCCATAAATTCTACGCATACGTAAGTGGGCTTTCAACATGATTTATTATAATGATGTTGCATCTGAAGTGGTGTAAGTGGTGTGTGTGGGCGCGTCTGCCGTATAATTATAAATAAAAAATTATTGTTATTACAAACAAATTTTTGGATGTGGGCATGCGTCCACTGTGTAATCGCAAATATACAAAGATATTGTAGATGCAAAAGAACTTTTGGGTTCTTTTCAGTTTGGGCATATTTAGCTATTTACTACTCCGTATATACAGTACTCCGTATTATTCTTTTCTGTTTGCTGTAAACTCTTTTTAGTTTGGGCATATTTACTGATTTGGTCCCCTTTGATTTCGAGGAAAAACATAATAATTTTGGAGGATTTCAATCCTGTAGGAAAATTTTCTATGAAGCACTTTGAAACAAATGATTGAATCATATTCAATCCTTTGAAATTTCTATGGAATAGACAATCCTATAAAGATTTTGGAGTAAATTTAGCAAGAGCTTCAACCTCTTGTAACTTTCCTTTTGAGTCTATCTCTCTCATCCAATTCCCACGTTTTTCCTGCGGTTCGATCAAACGGATATTTCTGTGTTTTTCCAACGTTTTGCAATCCTCTATTTTACACTTACATTCCTATCAAAATCCTACGTTTTTTCTATTTTTACGTTTTCTCAATCCTGCTATTTTGTCTGCTGTAAACTTGTGACTTCAATCGAATCCATCCGTGACTGTCGAAAACACAACTGCAACCAGAATTGGCGCGAACAAGCGACAGATTTGCTGGATACATGCCGGTTATCAGTCCAGAAATGCAGTTGTTTTGTTTCGTCGAAGCTACAGCCATCATTTCCAGAGTTCAGATGTATTTACAGGCATATGCGAAGATTGGCTACATGCTGACGGCCATGAGTTGATGATTTCTGCTTTTGTAAGTTGTATGTATGGCTAGAGCAATGTTCTATAAGACTATTCACAGTGCACACACGTGATATATGGCAATGTTGGTTCACCTAGGCAAATTGCTTGCATGGAGAAGAGAGTGGAATGGGGACCGTTCCTTCCCTGGGTTCGCATGACCAACTTTGGTCACGAGAACCTCGCAGCAATTTCGTTGCCCATCCGTGCACAAGAAAGCGAGAGCAGGAGAGAGAAAGGGGAATAACGGTATCCGACTAAAGAGAGAAGCTTGCCAGAGTTGGGGC